GCAGCAATGCTGTGAAATCTCCCCTTGAGGAAGCCACTTCTTATTGGGCTTTCATACAAGAACCTCTGTTATGAGAACCTATGACTTGATTTGACTCCCCTTTCCCTGTATTCAACAATAAAAGTTCCTGGATGGGAGATGTAGTGTGCAATCCCCAACATCTCTATCTCTTTAAATTTTTCAGGCTATCAGTACACATAGTGCAACACACATAGATGCTTACCTCCAGATCAGTGGTGAATTATGGACCTCACTCAGCTACTCGGACTCATTTGCCCTCAGATGGGGTGGAACAGGAGAGACTCTTCCCCATGAAGTAATAAAAAAACGGTGCTAGATAGGTGAAAGCAAACTGAAACTCATATTTGGTTCATGTTTACATGTTTACATCTATGGAGAAGGACAGAAGAACTAGTCACCGTGCTGCAAGATAATTAAATGCATACATGAAAAGGAGTCCCAAATGCCTTCTGGCAGATTCAAGCTTTACTAATGATAAAATGTTAGAAGATGCAATTCATGGAGAATGTCATTTGTCTTTTGCAAATTTAGCTATTTTAATTTTCTTTCCCCTGTATATGAGGTGATCAAAAAACCATGTATATTTCAAATTTTCAAAACTTCTTACCGAGCAGACTTGCTCTGGAGGAACAGCACCCACCTTCAGGGGATAGAACACACCTCTGCTGGAGGAGTAGCATACCTCTGCTGGAGGAGTAGCACCTGCCCCCATGTAAGCAGTACATGCCTGCACCAAAGGTGCAGTGCCCACCCCCAGGGGAGTGAGCAGAACTTCACAGGAAGACAGGCATTCCAGCTCAGTGTGAAGGAACTGACCCATGCTGGAGGAGCATGCCCATGCCCAGGGCAGTGAGCAGAACCACACTGGCCAAGCAGTACTCCTCCCCCAGGGGAGCAGAGCATGGAGTAGCAGAGGCAAGGAATAACCAGGCCCTCTGGCCCCAGATGAGGCCAACACCAGGAAGATGAAGGAATAACCAGACCACATGCCTGAGGATGTTAAGTCCAGCAGCCCACATGAATCCCTACCCTGGGGCCTATATCAGGAAGAGAAAAGAGGTCTGACCATATTCTCCATCTACCAAAGGGAACAAGGATATGCTCTGTCATGAACAATAACCATTATCTAAGGGGCCTGGGTGGAGAGGCCCTCTGGCACAGGGAAGGCACCTCCAAAACCCAGAGATCCTAAAGCTAGGCACTGAAAATTGTGACTGGCTGTATTCCAAGATTGCAAATCTTGGAAAGAAATCACTCATAAATAACATAAGAACTTTTTTCTCTGACTCAACCTTTTTTTGGTTTTTCTATTTTATATTATTGGATTGTTTATTTAATCTTTCCTTCATTGTTTTTTTGGGAGCTTTAGAGTTATTCTCCCTACTTTTTCTCTTCTTTTTTTCTCGTTTTTACTTTTTCCCTTCAACTTCATTTTTTGCTTCTTTCTTATTTTTTTATCTCTTGCATTTGTTTTCTTTACTTTTTTCGTTGTTTTTCTTCTCCATTCTTTTCAGAAACTATTAATTTCTATTACTATTAATTTTTTTACTCCTTAATAGAGCCACCTACCTTACTTTTCTCTCCTCTTTTCATAACCCATTGATTAATCTTTCATATTTTGCTTTTTTTATTCTCTGGTTCTCCACCTTTACTAGTATAACTGCTAAACTTTATAAATCTCTAGACACCTAATTTTATGCTGTTGCTATTGAATACTGCACTATTGTTGGTAGAGGTAAAGTTGTTCCATTTAGTAGATATCTACTCTAGGTCAATGGATGGCTAATATTTGGTTTGTCTTAGTGTTCATACCATAATTATAGATCTCCTTTCTATTGATGGGGTTGGTACTTTATAGAACCTTGGAGGTTGTCAATATTCTTTGTATTTGACACTATAATTGATACTGATTTTACTACTGTAGCCATCATGGCATAACTGTTGCTATTAATTCATTTTTTGGAAATACCAATACCTTGATTGCCTTGGGGTCATTAACAATACTGTGGCCCATCCTGGGACAGAGGCAAAAGTCAGTAGTTAGCAATGCCCAGAGGACACTACTAATGTGTAGATATTCACTAAAGAGCTCTCCATACCAGAAGCAGAGTTTTCCACTAAAATCAACCTATAAGCTTCATCAAAGAAAAACAAACAAAAAATAGAAACGTGAGGACATAAACCAACAAAATTCTTCCAGAAACTACCAATTGCCCCAAAGCAGATCCATGAGGTATCTCCAGGGAGGAAGCCAAAAGCCACACATCCGAATAATTTGAATTGATATTAGAAGAGATAACAAAACACATCAGTAAGGCACATGGCAAGCTCGCAGATGATATAAGTAATCATGTAATGGGCCAGTTAAACAAAATCATCTGTGAGTCAAAGGAATACTCTAAAAGAAGAACTAAACAAAATGTCATAGAAAAGAGCTCCACAAAAGGGCTCCAATGAGAAATTCAGGGATTAAATTTTCTATTGGAAATATGAGCAGTAGAAATGACCAATATGAGGACAGAGTGTCAGAACTAGAAGACAACAGGGCTGTAATCGGTAACCAGTTCATGAGTAATACCTTAAAAACAACAAAAAAAATTGAAAAATGGATCCAGTACTGAATAGGAGATGCAAAGCTACCTAAGGTTAATTGGAATTAGTTGAAAATCAGGAGATAGCACAAATGGCCCAAAAATCCTATTTACTGAAATAGTAGCAGAAAACTTTCCAAGTAGGGGAAAAGGATTTAACATACAGTAAGCAAGGCATATAGAACCCCAAATAGCCACAATCAGAAAAAGTACCTCTCTGCAACACATCACAGTCAAAATCCCAGAAGTCCAACCCAAGAACAGAATCCTAATAGCAGTTAAAGAAAAGCAACAAATCACTTATAAAGAAAACCCATTAGATTTACAGTAGATGCCTCAACACAAAACTCTTGGGCCAGGAGGACTTAGAGTTAAATGCTTCCAGCCCTAAATGAAAATAAGTTCCAACCCACACTGAAATACACTGCAAAAGTATCTTTCAAAATTGATGGAGACATAAGATACTTTCATTATAAAGAGTACATAAAGAATAACTAACAACAAATTCTGGTGTGGCTGTGGGGAAAAAGGAACAATTCTCTCCTGCTGGTGGGAGTGTAGGCTGGTGCAACCACTGTGGAAATCAGTGTGGAGATTCCTTGAAAAATTAGGATTAGCGATCCCATTTGACCCAGTTACTCTCCTTCTGGGTATCTTTCCAGAAGATTTAAAAGCATCATATTGCAGAGATATATGTGCACCCATGTTTATAGTGGCACAATTTGTAATAGCTAAATCTTAGAAGCAACCCAAATGCCCATCAACTGATGAATGGATAAAAAAGATTTTTCAAATAGAGAGAGTATTAGTCAGCCATAAAGAAAGACAACATTGTGACATTTAGAGCTAAATGGATGACCCTTGAGACCATAACCATAAGTAAAATAAATTGAACACTGTTATGGTTGAAACATTGTGTCAACTTGGGGAGTCTAGAGGTTTGGCTAAGTGACTCAGCAGGAAGCCAGGATACTTACTTTGTATACATCCTGAGCCTGTGGAAGAGGAGGGCATGGAGATTGTGTGAGAGCTACACGCCCCTTAGGTGGGGGTAGCCTGTTTACGATGTAAGGCAAGAAAGAAGCTGCTTGCCGCCATTCCTCCAGTTTTGCTCTGGCTGTTTGCTGTTCAGCTGCCATTCCCCCCTTTGCTCTTGTTGCTTTGCTACCTTTTGCCTCAGAGCCAGCCAAGTATGGACTGAAAGCTCCACAAACTGTAAGCTAAATAAACCTTTCCTTCCTTCATTTTGGGCGTTGGGTATTTTGTCTCAGCAACGAGAGAAAAGTAACCAAGACAAACACGTATGTGTGAATATCACTGTAGCCATCATGGCATAAATGTTGCTATTAATTGATTTTTTAGAAATACCAATACCTGGATTGCCTTGGGGATAATTAACAATACTACAGCTCATCCTGGGACAGAGGCAAAAGTCAGTAGTTAGTAATTATCTCTCTGGTGTTAGAAACTAAAATTGTATATAAGAACCAAAATATACAAAAGATATTGTGAAATAGGAAGACACTGTTAAAAAAAGAAATGGGAACTAGAGAAAGGAGCGAGGGCAAGGAAGGAAGGGAAAGAAAAAATCAAGACTAAAATAAAACAGTTTTGTGAACAAAGAGCAGAAAGGGATTTGAAAGGAGGGAATGGGAATGGGGGAGGAGAGGAATCAAGACATATAATGTACAAATACAAACTCCACACAATGAATGTGATCATTATGCATATCTAAATTCTTCCTAAACTTAAAATTAAAAATAAATAAATTAATAATTTAGCATGAAAAGAAAAAAGAGAGAAAATGTGGTTCTAAAGCACAGTGGAGTACTACTCTGTCATAAACATAAGCTTGAGTCATTTGTATGAAAATGGATATACCTTGGGGCCATAATGTTAAGTGAAATAAAGAGGGCACATGAGCTTAAATATCACATGGCTTCTTTTGTATGAGAAATCCAAAGTGTAAATAAAGAGCAAAATAAAAGTAGATGATAGGATGTAGGGAGGTAGATCTTTCTAAAAAGTGAAAGCCATCAAAAGATGGAGAGAGCAGGGAGGGAAGGGTGAGAAAGGGGAGCAAAAAAGGAGTCAGGATGTGTTATGTACATGTGCCGCTTCTGAACAAGGAATGTAACTTTTATGTACTACCTCCATGAACTAATAAAAATAAATAGTAAGATAAAAAATTAACTTTGAGTCCCATTTTGGCAGCCACAGAATGAAGCAAGTAGGAGAACAGAGAAGGTAATGAAAAAATTAACCAAAGGCTTATGTGGTGAAGGTGCTGATTCTTCCTGCTATACTGTGGATGAACAGGTTTTCTGGTACCTTCAATTATTACTGCCTCTCATTTATTATTTACAGAAACAGAAGAAGGATTTAATTTCTATTTATTATAATAATAAAACAAAAAGCTATAGAAAGCCAACAATAACAAGACCTTCAAAAGTATCTCCATATCATCTCCATATGCTTCTGGGATATTTGTGTTCTCCTTCCTTGAGATCTTGCTTGTCTTCCCTTTGTTCTTCAGTTTGGCAAATGCAAGATTAAGGCATGAAACATCTTCCTCAGCCCCATGCTTCAGGTGTTTCTTAAGCAACCGCAAACTGGGGAAGACCTGGCAGCAGCCCATGCATCTAAATCCACTGTACATGTCCTCCAGCCCTGCAGGTGTTTGGGCGCTGGGACCTGCTTCCTGGGACAGATTCTTAGGTGGCTTCTCAGCCTCTTCCCTTTCCTCTGGCTTTTCACTATCCAAGCTGTCCTTACCTTCAGTTAGGATGCCTGCTAGGCACATGTCAGGGAAGCTGGCTGTTGGAGGGTTCCTCTCAGGACAGATAACTTTTCCTATTCTCATCATCTTTGCAGGAGGCTCCCAATCTTCTTCCATATCCTCCAAAGCAGCCACACTCCTTTTCCCTGAGACAGGCTTGTAGTAAACATTCATTATCCTTTTCTTTTCAGTAGATGCTGTAGATGCTGAGGGGCTACTGGCAGAGGTCAAAGGTAAATGAGAATGTGGCATGAAGCAGGAATTCTCTGTCTTCATCGATTCTTGACTTAGAAGCATCTCAGAAGATCCAAGGCCTGGAACACATTAAGGTAGTGTATTGGTGTCTAGAAAAGAAAGCTTCAAAAATAAGGAGATGAGATGGCCATGAGATTATCCTGGGTGGGGGCATGTGGGTATCTGTGATATTCAGAATTCCATGTGTGGTGAGTATTGTGTTATGTGTGTATGTTGTATGCCTATGTGGGTAATGGGTGTGTGAAGCCTCTTCTAGAAATTGTACTTATGCACCTATATACATATATATACACATGTACACACACATATATACATACACATGTGTGTATATATATGTGTTCTGGTATACAGTTGGTACTGACAAAAACAGACAGGACTGAGTGTGTGTGTGTGTGTGTGTGTGTGTGTGTGTGTGTGTGTGATAGTTTGTGACAGCACATGTAATCCCTTGTGTGAGTAGTGAATGTTGGTAGATGGTGTAACAGCAGCCTTACATGTTAGAGGAAGTGTTTATGTCCTCAGCACATGCAGCTTTCTGAAGGCATGGTGGAAGATGTGGTGTTAGGGTGAGAAAAGTACACATGAAAAGAGCACAAGAGCCTGCCTGGCAAGTGCAAAGTCCTGGGTTTGATTCTTGGTACCAAAAAAAAAAAAAAAAAGGGCACAACAGTTTTCCAATGTTTTGTCTCCTCATAGCTTTATGGAATTAAAACAGGTATCCATCCATATGAGGTGATGTGACATTATTCATTGGATTAGATTGTAAAGTGGTGAATCTGAGAATGATTTGAGGAATGCCAGTGTAAAGCTGTGCCTGTGTAATGCCAATGGGAACTGGAACAATGGGAAGCGAAGTTTGTGAGAAAGAACAGTAAAGAGGAAGAGAAATGGGTCTGTACGTAGTATATAGGAATGCCATGTGAGTGTGAACTGAGTGTGCACTGATCTGAGGGGGAGGCACTGATCCCACCCCCTGTACATCTCCACATGGGCTACTGCCTCTCCCATAGCAGCCTCCGTGTTCACGTGGAAATCTGTGCTGAGAACTGTCCTCTTCTGGAAGACAGATTTCCTATCTGTCCCCGCACCCGCAAGAGGAGTCAGTCTTCCTTCCTCTTGCCTGAGGGCCTTTCTTTCATGTGAAGGAAAGGTGAAGTGAGTGGGCTCGGGAGGCCCCTCAGCTGCACCTCATCCAAGATCAGGTCAACTTTGCATCTGTCTTACCATTCTGGTCCATAGGAATGCGCATGCTTAAAGAGGAAATGCAGGGGAAATGTGCTGAGGCTGAGAAATTCTCTCCTGCATCCAGACTTGAGCTTGGGACCACCTCATGTGCCTCAGGGGCAGCCACAGAAAAGCTCTGCAATTCTAGAGAGTGAGGAAGACAGCAGCAAGAAAAATATTGATACATAGCATAGTCTAAGTTCTGTGTCATTCCAAAACAGATATGTTTCTGGCATGGTTACCACACATGGTAACTCCTTACCCCAAATAAAAGTAAATAGTAGCTATTAAAACTGTGTATGTCATGGGTATCCCTGGGTTTAGGTGTGATGCATATATTTTTGGAGATGTATACAGAATATTGGGAACTCAACTACACTTAAAATGTGGTATACATTCACTAACATTTAGATATTACTACTACTACTATTATTTTTAGCTCCATTTCCTGTTAATACATTGTGCAAATGAAGACTATGGAGTACAAGTTTCATGAAGAATTGTGTATGTAGACTCATTTACTTTGGTGAATATAAGATGCACAGAGGCATTGATGTGAATATGAATAGATAATTACTAGCTGCATACAAAGATAAAAACTATTAGATGGTGTTATGGCTTATGTTTAGATGTCCCTTTAAAGCCTGCTGTGGTCATAGGTAGGGAGTTTTGAAGGTGGCAGGATTAGGATGTGTGAATATGGATTAAGGGTGTGAAGCTGGGATTAAGAAGGTAGATAATGGATGCTCTACCCTGAGTGTGGAGGGTACCAATCAGTAGGTTTACAGCCCTAATGAAATATAAAGGAAGAGAAGGAAGGCAGGTAGCAGCTGCTGCTGTTGCTTGCTGCTTGCTGCTTCACTGTCTTCTGCCTGCTTGCCATGGACTGTTTCTCCTCTGTGATGCCACTCTTCCATGTCACCCTGTCTTGGAGCCAGTGGACTATGAGCAGAAAATTCTACAAATTGTGATCCAATATAAACCTTTTATCTTTTAACTTGGGATGCTAAGTATTTTATCTCAGACAGGGGATCCTTATGGGACTGGGCACGGTGCTGCTAAGCATTCAAATGAAGACTTCGCAGACTGGATCCCTACTCAACTTTCATAAATAAGCTTCCAATTTCCCTTGGATCTTTAACCTGCCTATTCATATCCCTTAGGAGCCTCTTCAAGAGGAGATAGGAAAATGAACAGGGTGAGTTTTGGAAACCAATCATGGGCAATCTTGGAGAGAAGTGGTTATTTAGTCAGTTGTTGAACAAAGAAGCTTTGCTCCAATTCTAAGCAATCATGCTGTCCCAGGTCTGTCCCACCTCACACCTTTGATAATGAGCATGACTGTACAATGGGAACAGAGTAATCAGGAGATTGCTTCTGGAATCCCTAATTCCATTCTGCTCACCTCCTGCTGTTCTCCCTGGCCACTCTGCCCAGCGCCCTTACCCAGGAATACTTATTGTGTGGGGGGGTTCCAGTACCAGGAATCGAACTCACGACCTTGCACTTGCCAGGCAGACGCTGTGCCACTGAGCTAAATCCCAAGCCGCTTACTGTGCCTTGAACAGTGCTGTTTTGCCTGGGCAGGAACTGCTGCACTTAAGCCTTTTGTGTTTCTACAGGGATCCTGCCCTCAACGCACATTATTCCCCTGGAACTTGGTAATGTGGTTCATATTGTTTGCCTTCTTCTACATATTTCATACTTTCATTATCTGCACCTTACTTCCTAGAGATTCACAACCTCAAATGGAGGATTTGGTAAACTTTTATGTTTGAAGAAATTAAATGTTCGTGACCTTTTATGTCCCTGTTTCTGTTCACAATATGGACCAAGCTCACTTCCCATTAGGTAACTGTGTAAGGTTATCACGATCTCTCATGAACATGGCAGGTTTGGATCTTATGCACACATTGCTACAAGTGGTGTGTGTTGACTGCAGCATGTGTCCTGCATGTGACATCCTTGCCTATTGCTTAAAGTTAGGGTTTAAGGTGGCATGGGTCTGATGCCTAGAAATGTGAATACGGGAGAAGTTTTGTTGAATGGGAATGACACTGTGGCTTGTGTCTCCGTGTTAGTTTGATGCATATCTATGTGCAGACTGAATATGATTAAGGGTGCATGTGTGTTTGCATGACCTCTGTTGTTTAGCTATGTGATGTAGTTAGTGGAAATATTCACATGGCAATTAGATCAAGTAGTTTATTTGTGAAGTTTAAGGAAATAAAGATCATGAGGATACAACAATCAGTGTGTAAGAAAAAACATAAGTTTTAAGAATAAAAGACAAAAAAAATAAATAAAAGACTTTGAAAAGTTATACAAAACATCTCAGGTTAGTGTGAGGATTATTGTATGAATAAGTTTGCGTGAGAAAACAAAAGATTAAGTTTTCAATAGGTTAACAGAGAAATGTAGATGTTCTTATAATTTCAGCAAGCTAAAATATAATTTTGTTAATATAACAAAATGGAGTTAGCAAGCAAAATTGCATTAATATAGCAAAACATCATCTCACTTTCCACATAATGAAGGCAGCCCTCATGCCCAGCAAAGTATAAATAATGAATAAATTCTTTTTCTTCATGCAATGGAATATATACAGCAATGACAGTACACACTCTATAATAATCATATGACACACGAATAACATTCATATATATGAGGATGAGTGGAAAGACTCTGACAAAACTATATATTTTGTACTTCTATTTGTACAAACTTAGGAAAAATGCAAGCTATTGAATGTAGTGTCTTCTGAAGTCAGAATAACTGTGAGTGTTTGCACAGTAGGGTAAAAAGTGAGAATACAGAATTCGTGTGCACATGAAAGATTATAAGGTCATGAGAAGAGAGATCACAGTGCAGATGCATCTGTGTAAGAATTCATGTGAAAGTAGTGGCTAGGACAGTATACGGATGTACTGTGTTCTTGGACTGGACATCTCATGTGTTTCAAGTCAGATCTTCTGATGCTCCTATTATTCTGGGCTTCTCATAAGCTCTCAGTGCCTTCCTCTCAGTCTACCATGCTCTTTCCTGGCTCATACTGTTTCTGTGCAACTCTCATCAGCCTCTTTTTGCTCAGGCACTCTCCCACCATTTCCTGAGCTGAACCCAGTGTTACAATGGACCCTGCAGTTCTCTCATGTGTTTTCCCTTTGACATTTGTTGTTTCTGCTGCTGGTTATTTTCAGGTTCTTTCTGACTGAGTAGCCTTGTAGCAACTGATGTTCAGAATCATTCATGTCAATTCTGGGATATGCTTAGACCCTGGCTTCCCTTCTGCACCCTGATCAATAGTGCATCCATACTTGCATTCAGACATTTATCTCCACAGGCAAATTCCTCCAAGGCTGAGGCAGAAGTGTCTGCCACTTGGAGGTCTTGAATTGGGGCCAGTTCCTCTCCTCTACTCTGCAGAAATTCTTGGAAATCCATCTTTCCTAAAAAATGAAACAATAGTCAAAGACATAGTTCCATTTTGGTGTGTATGTGTATTTACCCAATGTTCAGCAAACAATGAGCCTATAATTTGACATGTTCACTGGATGTACATTCCCTCCATCCTCAAGACTAAACAATATGGCACCTATTAGTAAAATTTTAAATGTGGAGTAATATTTATTCTGTCAGTATTTGTCATTACATCTACACAATGTTTCACTGGTGCAAAGACTGGTTGCTTCCACCTTTCAACTTGCACCGACCACAGTAGTTCTAATCTTGTGATACATTTCCTACAAAGGAAAATGAGAAGTGACACATGCCACTTTTATGGCCATAGACACCTCTGTATTTCTCCATGCACTTTATTTGTCCAGTTGACTGGGATATTAATAACTCTGAATCTCTGGGAAAGCCACATGTTAATGATGACAACAGTTTCTTCACTCCAGTGCATGAATTACTTTATAGAGGGCAGTTGTCCTGTTGACCTGCCCACCCACTGTGTGCATACACATGCAAACAATAGATTCTATGTGCAGTAGTTACTAGAGCTAGGTCTCTTCTGATGAAGTCAGGCTGTAAGCTGTTTTGAGAAGGCAAAAAATAAGGCTTCATACATTGTTAGTGGGTAATTTTTTAGATGATAGTGTTTGTTGCACCCTGGTCTATTTTTGTAGTTTGCTTGTGTGTTTTGTGTGCCTGTGAAAAAGTGTGAGCACGTACTTTGCATATTTCATAGTTTACAACTGATGTATTTGAAAATGTGCTGATCTAACAAAGGTGAGATAAAGACAAGCTCACTCTCCAGGTCTCTCTCTACAAAGCACCTTTAGAAGATACACAAACCTGAAAATCTATTGAAAGTATCAGACTATTCTGAGACATGTGAACCTTTCTTCAGAGTATTGGGTTTGGCTTCAATCTGCCCGTCTCAGCGATGAACAAGGCTTTTTGCCTCATAGGAGCTGTTTGTTTACTGTTAATCTCCAAGGTAACACAACTAGTAGTTTACAATTTTTCCATAAAGAGCCAGATCTTATCTCTTTAATACATAATTCTTGGTTAAATAGTATGTGTGTGAGCAAGTGTGTGTGTGTGTGTGTGTGTATTTTTCTTACATTTCACAAAAAGTCCTAGAGAAACTAGATTTTTAAACTCCTGAGTAAATAAGTATTTATAACTTTATAGTCATTCCTGCACAAATATGTTTAAACTTTTAAAGAATGTTTCCTTCATATCTACGAACCAATTTCTTCATTAAGAGAGAAAAAGTACTGTGAAAACTTAAAATGTCCTTTACTTCCTCAACACCCTTAGGAAGAAGTCAAATGACAGAAAACACATTTTTAGAAGAAAACGTTAGTCTGGACTATGTGTGTGACACAGAGACCCACTCCTAAAGAACAGTGACAAGACCTGGGTCATCTGAGTTGTCCCTTACTCCCAGAATACATGAAGCTTTGGGAGGACACACGTATCTCTCTCCTTCTCTCTCTCAGTCACTTCTCCATCTTTCTCTCCACTACCCCTGTACCACAAGCTAGAAACTCACTCTTTGCCATTTTCAGAATGCAAATCCTGGTTCCCTATTCCCCAAGCATAGGCTAACTCATACCTTTTCTGCATTTTGACTTTTCCCCAGGCCTTTGTAAGAGTTTCTTCTCCAGGTGTTTCCTCTTCTCTTTATGTTTCATTGTTCAACTTGTTGAAGAATTACTAATGTCAAGTAAGATTATATCTGAGACTTCTCTCAGAGAATGGTTAATGATGTTAAGGAAAGAAATGAATATACTCAAAAAAAACAAACAACATAAGACAATATCTGTTCACCAGATCACTGTCCTTGCGATGCTCAGTGTTGCACCACAATTGGTGGATACCAATTATCTTAAAGTTCTCAGCAATGTTCTGTGACCTACTGATGACATCAGAGAGTTCCAAGGCCCATCCAGTATTCATTGCAGGATTGTGAAATCTTTTCCCTAGTTGATTTGTCACTAACTTGAACTTTCATATCTTGTACTTCATCCCGAAGTGTAGACAGATGATATTGATGAAACAAAGGAAATTCTTTCACATGTGTAGGTGTGCTGCATTTTCTGAATCTCTGCAAGCCTGAGGATATGATACTTCCAGAGAGAATTAGGCTTGGAACTATCCTTGTCTCAGGAAAATTAGTAAATGTTACATTGTAGTATTACTATTTTAATTATCTGAAATGTATATCAGATGCATATTACAATAGTAGTATATATTTGAGATTCACTCAGAGTTGGTGTCAGTAGTATTTGGGGGGTGGGGGTATCAGGAATAGAACTCAGGACCTTGTGCTTGCCAGGCAGGCACTTGTGCTCCTGAGTTATATCCCCAGCTAGTGTTGTGGATTTGAGAGTACTTCATAAAGCCAAGCACTTACTGAAATTCTCATGCTACTGGAAATGTTCTCACGTGTCTTCTCAAGCCAGCCTGTCTCCTTTGCCACTTTTCTTTATCACTTCCCTGTCAGTTGGGAATCAGTTTTGACCACACAAAACCTGGCCCTCATCAGGAATTCTGTTCTTGGCCAACAGTCTCTTTCTCCATGATTATGTGCCAGCCCCAGTCTGTATTTTGGAACTTCTATGTCCTGTATAACACTCAGTTTAAACTCTGAGACTGCTTATTTTACATCTCATTGTATGTAGAACTTACTATATCTTTTAAGATCAAGCTATTTTCCCTCTGGTAGTTACCATGAGACCCGGCAATGGTTTATCTTCCTTCAGCCTCCTTTTACTCCATCAGCCTTCTCTGTGGTTCTCTTGGGCAGAATGGTCTAGCTTTCAGAAGCTGCCTGCCATCCTTATCTCTTCTTCACTTTCTTCAAGAAGTATCACTGTAGCTCTCCCTGAACTGTAACATCTGTGGGTCACCCAGACATCCAGGATAATCTTCCCCCTTCAATCAGTTTTCACTTAAGGCTGTCTGCAATGTTCCTTCAACTGTACAAAGTAACATACCATAGAGTCCAGAGACTAGGAAATTGACATTTTGTGGAGCAATAGGGGTGAAAATGCATTTTTTGGCATAGCCTACCAAGATAAGGTGAGAATCAGAGCTTACTTGCATAGTAAAATTCAGTAGTGTAAGAATAAAAATCCAAAACAAGGCAAAAAAGTAGGAAAAGTGGCATAACCACTATTAAACATATTAATGTAAAAAACCAAAAAAAATTTTACTTTGAAATTAAGCATTAACCACAGAGATAGAGACATTACATAAGAGTGTTTAATGCTATAAAGCTTTGGCAACAGCTGGGTGTGGTGGTGGGTACTTGTAACCCTGGCACTGACGAGAGTAAAGCAGGAGGATCATTGAGAGTATGAGGTCAGCCTGGGCTACATAGTCAGTTCATGGTCAGCCTGAACTACCCTGCCTCAAAAACCCAGTCTCAAAAAAGCAAGAAGATAAAAATAAACAAGTAAATAAACTTTGAGGGAAGACAAGTCAATGTAAAGAAATAAGTGTGAAAAATTCAGAGCTGTGAAAACTAACGTGCTAAGATACAGGCAGTAAATTTGTTGTGAGTGGCTTTCATCAGTTTGAGGTAAGGTCTTTGTGTGCATATTTTCATCAGAGATTTAACATGAAGGGATGCTTGAATTTTGTCAGAGGTCTCTGCACCCATTAAGATGATTATGTAATTTTTTGCCCTTCTGTTTATGTGGTATTATCCATTTATTCATTTATATATGTTGAACCAGTCTTGCATGCCTTAGAGGAACCACACTTGGTCATGATGTATAAACTTTTAAGGATTTGTTCTATTTACCTATAAGTATTTTTGTGAAAATTTTTACTATATTTATTAATGATACTGGCCTATAATTTTCATTTTTTAAAATCCTTTTCCTGTTTTGGTATCATAATAATGCTAGATTCAAGAAATGACACTGGAAGTTTCTTTTCCTTTGAATTTCATGGAAGAGTTTGGATCTTGGCAGTTAGTTTCTTCTCTAAAGTCATGATAAAATGTAGGCATTAGTAAGTCAGCTCCTGGATTTTTGTTAAGTGGGACAGATTTTATCACTGCCTCAATTCCCTTGCCTTTTATTCTCTTTGAAATTTTTATAGCTTCTTGGTTAATTGTTGGTAATTTTTATGTGTGCAATAGTTTATCCATTTCTTCTGTTTTCTCCAATGTATTGGAATATTTATTTTCAAAAAAGGTTCTTATAATTCTGTAATGCTTATGGGAATTTTGTCTGTCTCATTTGTACCTGCATAGGCGTAAGACCTTTCTTTCCACTTTTGGTAAGTTAGGGTAAGTATTTAGTAATCTTGTTTACCATTTCAAAGAACCAACTCTTTGATTCACTGATCTTTTTACTATTTTTTTTTTCTGTTTCTGTCTCACTTTCATTAAGTTCTGCTTTGATATTTGTAATTTGTTTCCTTCTCCAATTTTGGATTTGGATTACCCTTGGTTTTATACGACCTTCAGATGCATCTTTAAGGTATTTATTTTGCTTTTTTTTTTTTTAATGAGGGCATTCACAATGTAAACTTTCCTTTGGAACTGTCTTTTTTGTGCATCTTAGGTTTTGGTATATTGTGTTTCCACTGTAATCTGAGTCTAGAAACTTTTAAAGTTTGTTCCTTGATTGATTATTCAAAAGTGTATTATTTAGTTTCCAACATACTTGCATTTTATTCCATTATGATTGGATGCAAGAGATTCTTTCCATTCCATTGTATTAATTTAAGGTTAAAGCCTATGGTATGACCTAGTTTGGGAAAAAATCTGTGTGCTACTGAAAAATATGTATAGTCAATTGTTTTTGGATGAAATACTTACTAAATATCAGTTATCTACATATGTTTGGTGGAATGGTTCCACTCTAATATTTCTCTGCTAATTTTTTTGTCTTCTTGACTATGTATTTGTGAAAGTGTGATATTGAAGTTCCACATTATGACTGTAAAGATGTCTGTCTGTCTTTTTATATGCATTAGTTTTTGCTTTATGAAATTCAGTGCACTAAGATTGGGTACATAAAAATTTACAGTTGTTATATCTTCAAATTTTTCCCTTTATAGTTACCTTCTTTGTTTCTTCTGACTAGATTTGGCTTGAAGTTCACTTTGCTAGTAAATAGTATAAATAATCCTGCTTGCTTTCAGGCTCTGGCTGCATGAGGTATAATTTTCCAGCCTTTAAATTGAAGCCTGTGTTTTTCTCTGTGGATGAAATGTATCTTACAGTTTTCGTATGGCTAAGCTTTGCTTTTTGATTCAGTTCTGCGGTGTGTGTCTTTTCATTGGAGAGTTTAGACCACTGACAATGGGTATTGTTATTTAAAGATGTTTCCTGAATCCTGTCACTACATCATTTTTCTTTTTTCTTTTTTTTTGGGGGGGAGGGTACTGGGAATCAAACTCAGGACCTTGCACTTGCCAGGCAGGCGCTTGTGCCTCTGAGCCATATTCCCAGCTCCATTACATTATTTTTCTAGTGCTGACTTTTGAATTTTTTTGTTTTGGATAACAACTCTCCCAGTTAGATGTATTCTTTCCTTGGGCTCTTTTATGATGTTGACTTACCTCTGTCTAGGATTTTTTTAAGTATTTCCTTAGTTCTTGTTTTGTGGTTATGAGTTTCTTTAGATCATCTTTAATGTGGAGGGTCTTCATTTCTCCATCACTTTTGAGAGATAATTTTGCAGGATGTAGTAATCTGGGGTGGCAGTTGTTTTCTTATACTTAAAGAACTTTTCTCCAAGCTCTCCTGAACTTTAATGCTTGTGTTGAGAACTGTTGTTATTATTAATGGTTTGGCTTTATGAGTTAGTCTTTTTCTGTAATAGTTTTAGGGTTCTGTGATCTGAATTTCTTGGGTTTTGACTATAATGTCTTGTGCAGCAGTTCTTCTGTGATTGTATCTATTAAGACTGCTAAATATTTCAGATAATCTCATTCACTACGTTTGGAAAATTTGCTTTAGTAATTTCAGTGAATAAATATTGTTATTCAATTAGTTTCATTTTCTGCTCCTCTCATTTTTCTTGGGGTCTCACTTTGTACCAGACAGGATCACCCACACAGGATCTCACTTTGTACTTTAGGTTGGGCTAGATACATTACATGGCCCAATCAGGCCTCAAACTCATGTCCATCCTCCTGATTCAGCCTCCTGAGTTTTGAGACTATAGCCATGTGCTACCAGCCTTAACACATATAATTCTTAAATTTGTTTTTTTGCATTTTTTTTAAAGTTCATGGATCATGCACTCATTGTGTCTTGTTGGCTTTTGAATATCACCTGGTAAATGGTCTATGGAATCAATTTTTTCCCTCAAGTTCTTTTATTCTGTCCTCTGACTGATTATGCCTACTGCAAAAACTTTTAATTCAGTTTTTCCTTTGCAGGATTTCTGCTTGATTCCTTTTGTCTATCTTAAATTTATCACTAAAGTGATCATTGCTGCCCTCTACTGTCTTCCTTGTATCATTCAGCTGTTTATCTTCTGTAAACTCAATGATCATCTTATTATTATTAGAATCATTTAATTTTATGTCTTCTTTGAGGTCAGTTAATAATTGTTTTATTTGTCTGTTCATCTCAATTTGATGTCTATGATTATCTTAGCTATTTTTGAACCCTTTGTCTGGAAATTTACTCACTTCAGAGCTGGTGACCTCAGCGTTTGTGGTGTTATGAGGTTTTGGAGGTATAATTTCCTTGTGTTCTTCTGTTTTTGTATTTACTGTTATAGATAATTTAGGGCTGAAATCTCTGCCACTGTACCAGAGATCACTTAACCAGTGGGTTTCCCCACTGATATTCCCTTGCCTGTGGGTTTGTGTCAGTGTGCAA